AGGGAGAAGCAGATTGAGATGCTTAATTTTATTTATTTATTTACTTATTTAGTATATAGTATTTATTTATTATTAATTAAGGTTAGCTTGGATTAAAACTCATTTCCACATAAAAGGAGTACAGTATCACCTTTGGGAAAAGGAATAAAATAAACTGCAGAAAACATGTTTTCTGTTCAGTGGCGCCGTGCCTTCAAGATCTGAATATTATCATTATTATGATTTTTTAATTTCCTACATAAATAAATTTTAAGTGATTTTATTCATAAAACTGAATTTCATTATTTGACTAAATTTTAATGTGAATGACTAATTTCAACACCATACAGACTGGCACCACTGGTTTCCGTCTGGAGGAGATGAAAATGGTTATTCTCGCTTGTGTCGACGGGCATGTTAGAGACGGGCAGCAGACATTACCGGAGTCACACACTACATCCACCAAACGGGCCGGTATGACGTCATCGATGGCTATTTGACGTGAGACACGGAGGCAAAACGGGGTTTAGAGGAGGTGGAGTTGAGGTTACCACAGTGTAGTGATGGTTTGTCAGACCACAGCTTACATCTCAGAAACAGTCCAGACTTGACCCGACATTAGGGGGGTCAAAGGTGTAGGGTGGCTCGCGGCTGACCAAGGGTTATAGGTCAGCCAGGCTCCCCTCTCATATCACACGGCCCACCTGATGATTTCTCCAGAAGATACAACTTATAGTCTCTGAAAAAGACCAGACCTGACCCTACATTAGCGAGGGCAAATGTAAGGAGACCCTTCGCCGCCCCCCCCGATCAGCTCAACCTGACGGCTCGCCTCCCAATATATAGGACGTCCTAGTCCTCCCTCTGCCCAGACAGGCAGCCACAGAGAGAGAGAGAGACAGAGAGAGAGTGTGTCTTGTAACCAAGAAGGGCGAGCTACTACACCACCAGGCCTGCTCGAGAGAAGTCAGGGGCCGGAGGCAAGCCGCCTCCGGCCGCCTCCGGTCAGGAGCGAGTTGCCCTCAACACACCAGCGCCCAGCTAAGCAGTCTCCCATAGAGACAACCCAGGACCACCTGCTAGGCCTCCCCTAGATCACGTGAGTGTTTGTCAGAGCTTTCCATGGGATGAGTTACTTACGTGGGAAGTGTATTCATTTCATGTTCGTGTCCGAGAATCAGTGTCTAGTAACGTAATATGATGTCCTAGTAACGTAAACATAATGTCCTAGTAACTTCAATAGAAGGTGTTATTAATGTGTCCATGTCATGTTCGTAATTAATACAGAGTTGTAACGAAGCGGTGTTTGAGAAGTCGCCCTTAAGACGTAAGATAAGTGTATTGACAGTGTAAATAACTATCAAGGCCACGCTACCAAAATCTTCCTCTCTTTATACTCTTATACTATCAATATTCTACCTATATGTAATCTTCTTCTTGTGAGATTCGTCTCATTACAACAGCGACCAAGGGTAGTAGGTAAGGCAGGCACACAGCATCAACAAGCGGCTGGCAGCCGAAAGATAAATATGAATCTAAGGATCGTATATAAATCCCTTTCGCCTCGACCAACAACACGACTACAGTAACACGTGACAATGGTGTCATCCCACTTGGACGATTCCCAGAAAGACGATTATAGCTAAAAAAAAAAGTTCTTATAAATACTGTATTTATCACCAGCGAGAATGTGAACAGAATGACCACTTCACATATTATATTTATGAACGGCACATTCAAGTTAACACTAATCTTCTCAATTCGAAAAGATCATATGGCCAAAGAAGACATTGTATTTAATCCAATTAGTATTTGTTCGAAAAAAGGCTAACAAAGTACTTGGGCTCATACAAAGGAGTATTAGTTACAAGACTAGCGAGGTTATCCTTGCAAGACCTCACTTGGATTATACAGTTCACTTTTGGTCACCGTACTACAGACTTGATATCGAATTCCTAGAAAGCATATAGTATAGGAGGATGGCGAGACTAATCCCGGGCATTAGGAACCTTGAGGAAAGAGACAGATTAAAGCATCTGAATTTGCACTCCCTCGAGAGACGTAGAGTGAGGGGCGATATGATCGAGGTGTATAAATGGAAGTCAGAGTTAAACAAAGGTGATATGACAAAGGTACTCAAACTATTCAAACAGGAGCGAACTCGTAGCAATGGTGTTAAAAATGTCAAAATTAGATTTAGGCGCTAATAGGCCAGCTGCAGTTTTGTACATTCTTATGTTTTTTATGAGAGCGGGCTTATGGCTGCTCTACGTCTCATAACCTGAATAGTCGTATGTTGTTATTACTGATATAAATAACAATGAATTTCATTATTCCTAATAAAATTGATATTTTTTATTATTCTCTATAATAAAATATTCTTAATATAATTTATAATATACTCGTATTCCTGTAATTCATTCATCCTAATATAATTTTATATTCCTCTAATAAAAATGGTATTTCGAATAGAATTTGTGATGGATGGATGATCCTTATCTATAATCATACAAGTCGGAATCGCTTTTCCGAGAGTCGTCTAAGTGACATGTAATTGTGAGAACATCCACTAGCATATGATAAGACATTACCGGATAACATATGGCAGGATAACACAGGACACGACAACAACAGGTATTACAGAATGGATATAGAATCCTTGGAAAGAATTCAGAGGAGAATGACAAGACTAATCCCGGGCATTAGGAACCTTGAGTATTGAGACAGGTTAAAGCATCTTAATTTGCACTCCCTCGAGAGACGTAGAGTGAGGGGCGACCTGATAGAGGTGTATAAATGGAAGGCAGGGCTAAACAAAGGGAACATTACAAAGGTACTCAAACTATCCAACCAGGAGCAAACTCATAACAATGGTTTTAAATTAGACAAATTAGATTTAGGTGCGAAATAGGTAAACACTGGTTTGGTAACAGAGTAGTGGATGAATGGAACAAGTTAACAAATAACATCATTAACTCGAATGCGCTGGATAGCTTCAAACATAGGTTGGATGCTTATATGAGCAATAGGGGTTGGGTGTAAACGGGACTGCCCAGTATGGGCCAATAGGCCCACTGCAGTTTCCTTCATTCTTATGTTCTTATGTTAACAGATAAACACATAGCATGATAACACAGGACATGATAACAACAAATAAACACAAGACATGATAACACAAGGCATGATAACCGATGATTCACAGATTCTTTAAGACGCCACCATTATATCACCCTACACAGACCAGTCGATGGATCCAATGACTGTAAGCCACGAGTAGCCACCGCCCTCCCTCCCTGTAGTCAATGGGTGTTGTGTTCATATCGATATCTTGAATTCGTAATCACCTCAAGTCAAGAATGTTGCTTAAGTCGGAATATAGAGGAATTTCGTATAACAAAAGGCTGTAGGTAGAGATAATGTAGAGTCTTGACAAAAGGCCAATGTTTTTTTTCCGGATTATTAATAGTAGAGGAAGCTATCACTGGACCTCCTGATTCTCATATTCAGTCACACTTTACTTCCACACTCACCTGACTGTCACACTCGCCTGTATTCTACAATCTTACACCGGAAATGAGTAATCAAATCCTATTGTTTCAGTGTGTTTTGTTTATTCCCGTGTAGATGATAAAATACAGTAAATTAAAGTGACTCCCCTGTGGACAATCATCTTTGTGAAGGAGAGTAGCTTTCGTGCAGCGTTGGATGGGGTCGCCCCCACCAAGAGGGTCGTGATTGAGGAGTCAGCTGCCTAGTCCTTCAGTTCTGGTGCTTATATCGCTTATTTCAACATCTTATGACTTCTTCTGTCACTCGTATTATAAAGGGAAAAAGTCTGCTGTCTTTCTTTAACAGACACCAGAAGGAGACAAGAGGCCTTAATATGTGGTGCTACTGCAAAGTGCTTGAAATTAGTTTTACTAATTAAATGAAAACGTACTAAGATTGGCTAGAACAGCACGAAGAACAATGAAAGTTTATATAAAAAGAAAAGTGAGATACTTTGGTCATACAATTAGAGATGATGGTAGTGATGCTAATGAGTAAATTGAAGATATGAGGGAAATGCTGAGATAATATAAGAAAATAAGAATGGAGGAACCTGCAGCGGGTCTATTGACCTATACTAGGCAGCCCCGTTTACACCCATATCCGTCCAACCTATATTTGAAGCTATCCAGCGTGTTGGAGTTGTTGTTGATGATCGGTAATTTGTTCTACTCATCCACTACTCTATTTCGCGCTCATACCTAACTTTTTTTTATAATTTAAAACCATTGCTAAGAGTTCGCTCCTGGTTGGATAGTTTGAGTACCTTTGTTATATCACCTTTGTTTAGCCCTGACTACCATATATACACCTCGATCACATCGTCCCTCACTCTACGTCTCTCGGGGGAGTGCAAATTCAGATGCTTTAGTCTGTCTTCATACTCAAGGTTCCCAATGCCCCGAATTAGTCTTGTCATCCTCTTCTGTAGTACGGTGACCAAAACTGAACTGCATAATCCAAGTGAGGTCTCACAAGCACAAGACATTATTTTAGGATAACTTCGCTAGTCTTGGAATTAACATTCCTTTGTATGAATCCAAGTACTTTGTCAATCTTGTTTCGAGCAAATGCACATTGTTGTGTTGGTTTAAAATTCTCTATAACGCTGTTCATTTTGTATCTGGTTTCTCTGTTTACATCTCCTAGGCTAAATACTTTACATTTATCCACATTAAATTTCATATGGCATTTTTCAGACCATAAGATTTTTTTTCTTCTAGATTTTCCGGTAGTTTTGCAAAGTCCTCGTCAAATTTAATTCCACACCCTATTTTAGTGTCGTCAGCAAATTTACTTATGTTGGGATTTATGAATGAAATTGAAAGTTGTGGTCCTCAGAGAGATACAAAAACTAGGAAGATTAGCAGAGAGCCTGAAAGCCTTTGGAGTGGCGAACCATAGTCGCCAACCCTCAGACGTTGGGGGTGTCGCCTTGATGATTAATTCCTATAATGTGTTTGGATTTGGGGGGTTTCAGAAGTGGCTTATGATTCGACCTGTTCTAAAATCTGGAAAATCGCTGACCTTGCCACCCCTTTCAACTCACCTACACTGACGTCACCGACGCTGGCATCTCTACTGCCGATGCTGAGAGGCACTGAGGGTCTCCTAAAGTAGGTGATGCGTACCCAGACACACGCCGTCACCTGGGGTTTCGTCAGTTGTAGGTCCTCCTCGCTCACAAAGCTGCCGTTGTCGGACAGTAGGTGTGGGGACAGGCGGTAGTGGACCCCTTCCTCCCCCGACCCCGGCTCTGTAGACGAAACAAGAAGCGTGTGACTGCTGTGGGGATAAAAACAAACAAGACTTTTCAACTATTACATGGCCGAAGATAATCTCAGCAGTCTCCATCATACATGCATTTTAAATAATTGGGCAGCGTTGGGAAAATATTTTGACAAGTAAATATATTAAGCTGCGCAAGAAAGTAGAACCAGTTAATATAAAGTGCACCAGATATCACCATAAAGTATTTAGAATGTGTGAGAATGTATAGAAATTGTATGTTTCATTAATAGATATTCAAAATTTCTGAAAGAGTTCCAGTTGTTCCTCGTAGGGGTAGCGACAAATGGTTTCATTGGTACTGTACGCCCACGAGGCCACAACGCCTTCATTTTGGATTTTAAACTTCCTCTTTAATTGTCTTTCAACTTCACTTAATATTATCTCATTTTGATCAAATTTCATTAAGTGAATGACCACGATGAGACACCAGGCAGGTTCAGTGACATACCCGTAACATCCACGAGTCATTGTGTTACTCCTGTCACGTACTCAAGAGCCTCCTGTCACCGGTCTCACGTACAGTATATTGTCGCTAAAAAGTGATGGAACATATATAATATTGAGAAAATAATTAGATACTTTCTTTGAATAAATTATGAGATACTTTAACTACTCGAGTGTTTTCCTTTATAGTAAGATGAGACAGTTACCCGACACATACTGGATCCCATCAAAGTCCTTCACTCTCGTTATCCTGACTACTTAATACCTCATTACCTGTACTTGGCACCCCCCTCACCTGACACCCCCCACCTGACACCCCCCCACCTGACACCCCCCACCTGACACTTCCCCACTCTGACACCCCCCCCACCTGACACTCCCCCACCTGACACCCCCCCACCTGACACCCCCCCACCTGACACCCCCCCACCTGACACCCCACCTGACACTCCCCCACCTGACACCTCACCACACACACCCCACCTGGACACACCTCTCTAATTTGACACCCCCCACCTGACACACCCCACCTGGACACACCCCCCACCTGGACACACCCCCACCTGACACACCCTCACCTGACACACCCCCACCTGACACACCTCACCTGACACACCCCCCCACCTGACACCTCTCTACCTGACACCCCCCACCTGGACACACCCCCACCTGACACCCCCCCACTGACACACCCCCTCACCTGACACCCCCACCTGACACCCCCCCCACCTGACACCCCCACCTGACACCCCCACCTGACACCCCACCTGACACCCCCACCTGGACACACCCCACATCTGACACACCCCATCTGGACACACCCCCCACTCCTGACACACACCCCCCCACCACCTGACACCCCCCACCTGACACCCCCACCTGACACCCCCACCTGGGACACCCCCCACCTGACACCACACCACTTGACACCCCCCACCTGACACATTCCCCCACCTGACACATTCCCCACCCCACACATTCCCCACCTGACACATTCCCCTCACCTGGACACATTCCCTCACCTGACACATTCCTCACCTGACACCCTCATGTGACACACCACCTCATCTGACACACCACTGGCACACACCAACCTCAACTGACACACACCCACCTGACACACGCCCACCTGACACACGCCCCCAACTGACACACACACCACCGACACACACCTCACCTGACACACCTCACCTGACACACCCTCACTCTGACACACCCTCACCTGACACACCCCTCACCTGACACCCCTCATCTGACACACTCACTTGCACACACACCAATCCCAACCACACACACCCTCACTCTGACACACCCCATCACCTGACACACCCCATCACCTGACACGCCCCCTCGCCTGACACACCCTCGCTCTGACACACCCCTCGCCTGACACACCCCCTCGCCTGACACACCTCCTGCCTGACACACCCCCTGCCTGACACACCCCCTGCCTGACACACCCCTGCCTGATACACCCCTGCCTGACACACCCTCGCCTGACACACCTCGCTTCCACACACCCCATCACCTGACACACCCTCACCTGACACACTGACACACCCCCTCACCTGACACACCACCTCACCTAGTCGTCAACATTAGCCGACGGGTATAAAATATTTCTCCCCCAGTCCATTACACTCAAAAATCCAGAAATGTTCCAAACTAGTGCGTCATTGAGGGCTGTGTCGAGTTACCTTGGCATTTCCACATTTTGTAAAGGAGTTTGTGGGTTCACACATTCTAGTGAATTATTACGAGGATAATATACGAGGTGATGTCTCCAAAGGGGCCACTGTGCCTCGGGGCCATCTTTGTTCAATCGTTCCAGGGTGTGACGTGATGTTGATCTGACCTTAAGATGACATTATAAGCTGTGGCAATATGTTCGAAGAAGTTTCTTAGAATAACATTCTAAGCTGTGATAAGCTGTTAGAAGCAGCTGCTTAGAATTATATTGTAAAGTAAGTCCACTTGCCAGGATAAACTGCATTTGTTTATATTTGGTGGTCAGCCGACAGTTCCATAAAGGCATTAACTAGATAGGTGCTGTGTACGAGTCCCATCTTCGTACAGGTGTCATGGAGTCTTGGAGAAGATTTTGACAAACTCAAACACAGGATAAATGGTCTTTCTTTCTCTACGGGAGATATACTGTAGATTGAGTGTGTGGGGGTGATTGAGCTTACACATGCACACACACACACACACACACACACACACACACACACACACACAGTAAGTACCATGAGAGGCCATGGATGGCCCTCTGACTAGGTAAGGTCCCTGACCCAGATGCCACCGGTCAGTGCTCCACACTATCCGAAACCGATGACTTGCCTGTGTGCGCCCATGTGTACGTGTGTGTGTTTTTGTTTATTCGTTGATTTTCTTGTTTGTTAAGTTTGTATGTGTGAATGTTTTCTTTCAGGTTCGAAGGGTTTATGCATTTTTGGTGTTTTATATTGTGTAATTTTGTTTGTGTGAGTAAGATAATAATAATTAGTGGTTAAAAAATACAGCAGTCATAAACTGAATAAGTAAGATAAAGATGAGAAGGTCATTTAACAAGAAGTTTAAGCGTAGTAAGAGTCCAGAAGGAAGATGGGCAAGATAGTGACCACAATTTATTTACGAATTGTTGATGATTTTTACAATGATAAAAATTGGGCTGGTTGTGTTGCGATCAGTACGAAGTCTCGCGTGTGTGTGTGTGTGTGTGCGCGCGCCTCCAGGGACCTAGTGCGTGTAGTCATAGTCAACGCGACCGACCAACTGTGAACCAGATGAAGGTGGGAAGACCTGTGTGAGGAGATCAGCCGCGTCAAGAGCCATCGCGCCACAACCCTGAACCTAAACTAACCTACCCTAACCTATTTTATTCTGCACTACCCTAGCAAAACTAAAAAAAAATATAAGTTAACCTAATTTAACCTGTACTCGCATTAATCTAACCCAACATAACCGACTTAACCTAACCTAACCTAACCAACCTACTTACGTAACCTACCCTAACCAACATACCCTAACCAACATACCCTATTCATCCTAACCTATTCAGTTTATTGAACTTTAACCTTGCCAGTTTATCTACAGTGACTTAACCCTTCTACCTAACGTATCCTATCTATCTTCTCTAAATTAACCGAACCAAGTAACCATGCAGTCTACTTAACCTTATCTGAACAAATCTCCCGAAATTAATCTAAATAAATCTGTCATTAAATATAACTAATCTATCTAAATAAACCTAACCAGTCTACCTATCCTAACCAATCTAATTTAACCGAGTAAAGCTACAGTATATAATTTAACAAAACCAATCTTTCAAAATTAATTTAACCTATATCAACATTTAACGAACCTTAACCTAACCTAATCTGTGCTTCCAATACCGTACGACAATTCATTGCTTAAATTGCTAGGGAACATTAAACTGCTAGGAGATGTGAGCACGGGGGTCGAGGAGACTGCAGTGCACACGCTGAGACAAAACGAATGGTTATATAGAACTCGTGCTTGGAATGATGATAAAGCTAAACTAGTCAGAGAGTTAAAACCTAAATGCAATATTGAGAGGACTCGGTTTACGACAAAGTTAAATGTCTACTCAGCAAACAGTAAAAGTATGAACATGAGAAAATAAGAATGGAGGAATCTGCAGCGGGTCAATTGGCCCATAATGGACACCCAACCGCTATGGATTATACGGTATATCCATCCAACCTATGTGTGAAGCCATCCAGCATATTCGAGTTAATGATGTTTGGTAACTTGTTCCACTCATCAACTATTCTATTTCGAAACCAATGTTTACCTATCTCGATCCTAAATCTAAGATTGTCTAATTTAAACCCATTGCTACGAGTTGGCTCCGGGTTGGATAATTTGAGTACATTTGTTATATCACCTTTGTTACATCACCATTGTTGAACCCTGGCTTCAATTTATACACCTCTATCATATAGCCCCTCACTCTACGTCTTTCGGCAAGTTCTCTATAATAAAGGTTCCTAATGCCCGGGATTAGTCTTGCCATTCTCCTCTTTATGGTTTCTATGGATTCTATATCCACTCTGTAGTACGGTGAACAAAACTGAACCGCGTTATCAAGTGAGGTCTCGCAAGCTCAAGGTATAGTTTTAGGATAATCTCGCTAGTCATGTAACTAACACTCATTTTTATGAACCCAAGTACTTTGTTAGCCCTGTTTCGAGCAAATACGCATAATTGTGCCGATTTCAAATATATAATTATTATTACCCACTGAATCTTTCTCAAAGTCCGATTTCTCTATATCAACGTTGTTCATCTGATATCTGATTTCTCTGTTTACATCTCCTAGACTAAGTACTTCACATTTGTCCACATCAAATAATTTTCAACTGCCATTTTGATCTTCCTGTAGTTTTGCCGAGTTTTCGTTAGATTTAATTACACGTTCTATTTTAGTGTCGTCAGCAAATTTATTTATGTTGCTGTCTACGCCGATATCTATGTCGTTTATGTATACGATAAATA